GAGTGGGTGGTAAGGGAGGGGGTGGGGGCAGGGGGGAGAAATGACCCAAGCCTTATATGCACATATGAATAATAAAACAATAAAAAAAAAGAAAAAAAAGGTTAAAGCCCTATTACTGACCCTCTAGTCTTACAATAATTATGAAAATAAGATATAGCCTGGTGTATAGCCTAGTGTGTTTCACCAACACTAGCTAAATAATCATCTGAAGGAGAAGTTAAGAGTTTACCTTTGTACTGGCCACACCAATCTCAGGACCAGCATTAATGTGAACTCCACAATCTGTCTCCCTTGATATAGAGCTGCCGACTGTATTTGTGATCCCCACAGTCAAAGCACCTCTCTCCTTACAATAACGGAGCCCCATCAGGGTATCTGCTGTCTCACCTGTGCAAAGAGTACAACAAAGTAACACACAGCAGCTTCAGCATATGCTGTTTCTTACATGCAAAAACAAATCGGCCATACTTTTTATATCACTTGTTTTAAATAAAACATAAAACATGCAGCTATAAACTTACTAAACTTCTAATAATAGGCTTTCTAGGCTTTTCTTTCCCTAGTTGAAAATTTGGCTCTTGAGCTTAAAGGGTGTTGATTTTTACTAATTCACAAAGAATGCAATATTAAAGTAAATCGGCATATGTCAAGTCATCTGCAATACCAGTTTATTTTTAAATACCAATTCTTCACAAGATATACCAAAATTACTAGAAAAAATTACTTTCCTTGGTTCAAGTCTCTAAAATGGACATACCTGACTGACTAATGAAAAAGCAAACATCATCTCGAAAGACTGGTGTGTTTCTATCCAGGAAGTCACTGGCTAGTTCCACCATCACCGGCAACTCTGTCAGCTCCTCAAGTACCTGCCGCGTCTGCACAGACAGAAAAGGTGACAAGGTCACACAACCTGCCTTCAGATACCATGCCACTGACTTCTTTGAATTCAGTACAGAGGTTTCACTTTTTCTAATTATAAAAAAGAGACATGGGCTGGGGATGTAGCTCAGTGGTATGGCCTTACATAAAATTTGCAAGGGCCAGAGTTCTATCCAAAAAAACCCCATAACTTTAGAAAATATAAATATAGATTTAAGTATGAAAAATAAAAAGAAGCAAAATCCCACTATCCAAGAGATAAGTACTGTGAACACTTTAGTACAAGTCTCTTAATACAATTATCAATGCAGACATTCTTACAAGCAAGGAAACACACCCACACATATAAAACATTTTCAGAAGTAGAAAAAGCACTGCTGAGACAGCCTGTGTGTTATCTCTAACTTCCCAATTCTTAATGTTTAAAAATTCATGTAATACCCAAGTCACTAAGGGATTTCAAATGACAATCAGATAATACAAACACTGGGTAAAAATTAAACACTTTGCAAATGCCACTTAATTGTAAATAGCACCATTTCCCCCCAAAAAAAGTCAATACATTTCACAAATCCTGCTTAAGAAGTTTACTATTTTCAGACTTCAGGGCACTGGAGCAAGGTGTGCGGAATGAGGTAGAGGTACAGGTAGTATACGTCTGTTCAAAGGGCATCTTACCATTCCTTTTACTAAACTTCGGTTCTAATTAAATTCCTCTTACCCTAAATATCAGGAAAGGTAAAACAGTAGAAAAGAAACTTTCAGGCACCAAATAAGTCCTACAGATGTGTAGACATGCAGCCTGCTTTAATACTAAAACTGAGATCGCCATTCTGAGAGCCCATCACCAGCTTCTCAGGCCAGCCCTGCGGACCTCTTGCCTCATTTCCACATATCTCCTTCACAGCAGAACAAACTGTAAAGGTGCCCTTGCTTCACAGCCTTTGAACTTTTGTTTGCCCATAAATAAAAACAAGTGGGTTGTTGTATTTGGTTTCCCAATAACTCCTGTTTGAACAGAAAGTCTTTGAAAATTAAAATGGTCCTATTTTGATTCCCCTTTCCATTAACATATTTTAATAATTGTACATAAATAAGTTACTAACACTAAAATGCTAAATGTTTACCTCAAACAAATGAAAACCAAACCTTTTCTCCCAGTTTACAACTGGAGTTACATTCTTCAAAACAAGATAAAACAAACAAAAAGAGATACAAATCTGACAACCAGATATTTAAAAATAACCTACACTGAAAAAGTAATCTCAACTCTATATGTACTAATGAGGAGTTTATTTAAAATGCACAGAATAACATATTTTCATCACAAGACAGTAACTTGATGCTATAAATTCTCCTGCATGCCACTGTAAAACCCAGAAGAAAAACATGCTACTCTGAGAATGATTTGAGTGTAGTCAGGATGCAGACAGTAAACTGAAAGAAGTCACACTAACATGTCATTCACATTTGACTGCAACAAAAAACCAAAAAGGTAGAGGAGAATTAATGGAATAAATAGCACTAATTTGTACAATAAACCACAGGAACATCTGTAATATCTGTTCACTATAATAATCTTGGCATCCACCAAACCAAACCAAACCAAAAAAAAAAAAAAAAACCCTGTATCATCTCACAAGAACTGGAGAATTCTAACATAGCATAGAATTTGGAACCCCAAATTTAAGGATAGCATTGGATGACATGTTCAATCAATTTTTTTCGTTTCTGAATAGAGAGCTCATTTAGTAACAGAATTAATACACCAGTGAAATAGCCCAT